GAAGATGATGAATAATCAATCAACAAATACATGAAAAAAATGTTCATCATCTCTCACAATTAGAGAAATGCAAATCAAAACCACTCTAATATTTCATCTCACTCCAGTCAGAATATCAGCTATTATGAAGACATCAACAATAAGTGTTGGTGAGGATGTGGGGAAAAGGTACACCCATTCATTGCTGGTGGGACTGCAAATCGGTGCAGCCAATATGGAAAGCAGTACGGAGATTCCTTGGAAATCTGGGAATGGAACCACCATTTGACCCAGCTATCCCTCTCCTCGGACTATATCCAAAGGACTTAAAAACAGCATACTTGGGCTGGGGATGTGGCTCAGGCGGTAGCGCGCTCGTCTGGCATGCGTGCGGCCCGGGTTCGATCCCCAGCACCACATACCAACAAAGATGTTGTGTCCGCCGAGAACTAAAAAAAAAATAAAATATTAAAAAAAAAAAAAAAAAAAAACCACCAGAAAAAAAAAAATAAAAACAGCATACTACAGGGACACAGCCACATCAATGTTTATAGCAGCACAATTCACAATAGCTAAACTGTGGAGCCAACCTAGATGCCCTTCAGTGGATGAATGGATAAAAAAAAATGTGGCATTTATACACAATGGAATATTACTCAGCAATAAAAGAGAATAAAATCATGGCATTTTCAGGTAAATGGATGGAGTTAGAGAAGATATGCTAAGTGAAGTCAGCCAATCCCCCAAAACAAATGCTGAATGTTTCCTCTGATATAAGGAGGCTGACTCATAGTGGGGTAGGGAGTGGGAGCAAGGGAGGAATAGAGGAACTCTAGATAGGGCAGAGGGGTGGGAGGGAAGGGAGGGGGCAGGCGGTAATTAATGATGGTGGAATGTGATGGACATTACTATCCAAGGTACAGGTATGAAGACACAGATTGGTGTGAATACACTGTGGGTACAACCAGGGATGTGAACAACTGTGCTCTGTATGCATAATAAAGATTGTAATGCATTCCGCTGTCATATTTATATACTAAATAAAAAATAAAGACTCAGAGGCACTTTAGAGGCGGAGCAGGGTCTTGGAGCGTGGAGGGTGCAAGCCAGTGGGGCCCGGGCGTCTCTGGGTGGACAGGAGGCACTGGGCCGTGGCAGCCCGAGGTAGCCCGAGGTGGCTCTCCGTGGTCCTGCTCGCGGGGGGCTCTTTGCTGTGGCTCCTTCTGTCGGACGTGCACCCCACCGAGAGCAGGAGATGGAGCAGCTGATGCTGTCGGTGGGAAGGCTGCGCCCCGCAGCGCGCCCTGGTACCTGTCAATGCCGATGACACGTGAGCCCTGGCGGTGACATTGATTCCTCTTGAGAAAGGGGACAGGGGAGGGGATCACAGCCGTGGCTTCCCTTTTGCTAGGAGTGACAGGGTACAGGGCGGATTGGGCTTAATCCTCAGCAGCAGGCAGGAAGGGCACGTTCCTTAAGAAGCTTATCAGGGGCCCAAGCGAGTGGGCGGCAGTAGGTCTGCCTCTGCAGCTGCGTCTTTTTTATCTATTCCTTTCCTTAAAAAATAAAAAACAAAAAAACGGATGGGAAAGGGTTTCTTTTACTTCATGGAACGATGTTTCCACTGAGATGAGAAATTGAAAGAGGAGGCTGAGCCCGGAGGCCGGTCGGGAGAGGCGCCTGCAGTCTGTGCAGTAACTCCAGCCTCAATGGTCCCCCTCTGGGGCCGGAAAATGGCTCTCAGTGATCCCTGCTCCAAACCCTTGTATAATGTGGGAAGCCACAGCGGTGTCTCGGGAGGGAGGCCTTTCTGATAAAGCTGGTGGCCAAGGACGAGGCTGCTGAGGAGAAACCGCCTGGTCACTTCCCAGGTGTAGCCCGGGACTCTGCAGGTGCGCACAGCCGGTCACGGAAGTGGACCCTGTGTGGGCTCACGGGGGACTGGCTGTTTCTTTTGGACACCGTAGGATGTGGAAGAACTGTGGATGGCCGTGGAGGTGACGAGGGACTTGGGGCACTTGAAGCCCCTGTGTGCCAGGGGACTGAATCAACCGACTCAGCAGGAGATGGCGGAAAGAAGGCCGAATCAGCTGAGGGGCAGCACAGACCCGAGAAAGGCCAAAGGGGAGGACTATTTGCTGGACAGAGAGGCCTCGGGGAGACCATCCAGGCCCTGGAGTTGCTGATGGGAGGAAGCCATAGGCAGGTCTGCCATGTATGGTTGTGTGGTTTGTGCACTGAACCAAGGCAACAGGTGCAAAGAGTGGACGAGGCTTGCTGGCCAGGCTGTGTGCTGTGACATGGGCTTGCTTCTACCCAGAGAAAAGGAGACGTTTTTCTTTGTATGGAGGTGATTTTTGTCCCCAGACTATGTATACATACAGCTCAGTCGGCCAAGGGACTTTGTGCAGAATCTGGGGCAGACCAGACAAAGAAAGCACTTGAGCTCTGGGCATGGAGCGAGAGATGGCCACATCCCACGTCCACACAGTGCCTCGCTCCTCTGAGGTGGCAACAGCCCTCCTCCTTGAGTGGACACCAAGGCTGCCCTGAAGGGAGCCGTGAGATTGGGTTTCAGGGCTCCTGTCTTCTGGGGTACCCCCCCAGGGTACTGCCCCAGGCGATGCCGTGGGTCAGGTTGGGGAGCCCTGGCTGGAGGTGTGTGCAGGCCCCCGCAGGTGGCAGGAGGCGGCTGAAAGCAGAGCCTCGGCAGCCTGTAAAGGTGTCCCAGGAGGGGTGACTATACTAGGACACAGGAGGCAAAGGACTTCAGAGGACTCCTTCCTGCCCTCTGCCCCACGACCCCCACTCACCGTTCCCAGACATGGTTCAACACAGGGTCCCGTGGACCCGCCGTCCCGCAGAGCCCGCTAGAGACCCATTATGTTTTATCCTGAACCACCCTGCAGTGCTGGCCACAGGGACAGGCAGAGGAAGGGGCTGGCTCGCCCAGGACTGCGTGCCCAGCTGGGACCTGGACCCCAGGCCTCTCAGAGCCACTCTGCCGGGCACCACTGCAGCTACTGTCCCTGCTCCCCTTTCCCCGTCCTGTGCTCTGAGCAACTGATGGGAAGTCGGCCTCCTCCCTCCTCGCAGGGTCCTAACGACCTGCAGGAAGCAAAGTGGCCCCAGGAGCGCTCTGCTCACAGGAAGCGTCTTTCTTGTGGATCCTGCCGTTAACACTTCACGGGGGTTGGCTCTGGGGGATCTGTCAGGAGCGGGTCTTCCTTGGAATCCATCTTCCAAGGCGAGGGCTGTGGCTGGCTGGGCCTGGACCTGTCTGGGCCACACCCTCGCTCCACGGAGCTATGGTCTGCAGATTGCTAAGGACGTGCAGAAAGAGGAGGCAGGTGTCAGGGGGACTTGTCCACTGGGGAAAGGTAAAGGGGCCCGAGGTTCTCCCTCAGTGACCAGCCTGGTCCTGGTCACATCTCTTCTCGTCTTTCTGTTTCTGGGGAGGCCGAGGTGGGGGAGCAGGTGCAGGGGAGGCCCTGGGGGAGGAGGCTCTGAACATCTTTGACTGGGGCTTTCTCCTCTGTGGCCTGGATGTGCCCACCTCATGCTCTTTGCTCCCGACGCTGCCCCTGGGCTGGGCTGCCCACTCTCCACTCAGTCTGACACCAGCTGGAATTAGGGTTAGTGGACCCCAATAGTAAAGGGCTCACGAGGTGCCCCTGCCCCCACCCAGCCCTGGGGTGGCCCCCCGCTGCTCAGACTCCTGCCTAGTGAGCTACCTGGCCAGCTACTGGCTCAGGGGCTCCCGTCCTTCCCCAAGGCTTGGACGTTTGCCAACACAGCTTGCAGAACTCAGGACGACCGACAACCACAGTTTGATCATGGAGCACACAACTCCCCAAAGGCCAGCAAGGTGTGGGGAGGGCACAGAGCTTCGTGTCCCCTCCCAGCTCAGAAGGGCTTCCTATGGACGTCAAAGGACGCCCCTCTCTCTCCAGGTCCTTGGGGTTTTTGAAGCTCTATGACAGGACCCAGGACAAGCACCAAGCCCATGTTCTGTTGGGCCAGGTTCTTCCTTGCAAGGTGGTGACTTGTTCCCAGAGGACGCTCATCTTCATTGTCACCCACTCATGGAGACCCACAGGTGTGGCTTTCCAGACAGCGGGGGCATGAAATCCCTGAAGTGGCCTTACCAGGTGGGCATTACATGCATTTTATAGGGAGGGGACCTGAGGCACAGTGACTTTCTCAAGGTCACATAACCGAAGACAGATGAAGCTGAGTGGGGCTATTTGAGTTCAGAGCCCAAATTCTTCACCCCTGTACATCCTGCTTCCTGTTTCAAGGTGACTGGAGCCCTTCAGATGGACTCTGGATTCTTCACATGGGTTTTCCTGATTCACCTCCAGAGCTGCCAAGCAGGGATGAAGCAGGACTGGAGATACGAGCAAGGACACCTCTCCAGGTTGGGTACAGAGAGCTCCTGGCTCCTCAGGGTGTTGGTGGGTGAGGAAGCAAATCCCGTGTTAAGGAAGGGGGAAACAGAGGCACATAGGGTGCTAGTATTTGTCGGGGTTTTTAGCCCGTTTCCAGGACGAGCCAAGAAAGGTAAAGGTCGACTGGCCGCCCACCCCAGCCCTCCCTCGCTGGAGGACAATCAGATGCGCCAGGGAGATGACTCAAAGCAGGATCTCGCTTATTGAGGAAGCACACACAGCTGATGTACTGCATAGAAGCCAATCAGGATAAAGGTCAGAGGGGTGGAGCGAGTTCACGTGTACACCCATCCCATAGTCCGTCAGGGAAGGCATGAGCTGTCCACGAGGGCGGAAGAGTCCCGGACCTATCCTGGAGGTGGTCCGCCTTTTCCGTCACCACCCACAGCACCGCCTCCTGGCTGATGGCCAGGAGCCATCCCAGCCACATGTGCGGCCCCAAGACAGGAAGTGGGCAGCAAGTCATGCCCTCCAGGTGTTGAGCAGCCGGGTTGGGATTTGTCTGTGTGGACTGTCTTGCTTTCCAGTCTTTTTTTTCTTATATTTATTTTTTAGTTATAACTAGACACAACATCTTTATTTTATTTATTCATTTTTATGAGGTGCTGAGGACTGAACCCAGGGCCTCACACGTGCTAGACGAGCGCTCTACCACTGAGCCACAACCCCAGCCTCTTGCTTTCCAGTCTTGAGAGTGTACACACGAGGTCAAGGAAAACTCCTCAGTTTTCACCCCTGTCCAGGGGGACCACTGGTGCCCACCACACAGGCTCATGGACGATATTAAGAGTCAAGGCAGAGCCCCGAGGGTGTTTCTGAGAAAGGCTGGCCACCCCCTCTTACCCCCACCATTAACTGCCCACACAGGACCCGACAGGCTCTGATTCCTGAGCCTCCCCCACAGAAGTCCTGGAACCCCAAGCCTGTGTTGCCCTCCCCGTCTATGGAGAGAGGGCCTTTCTGTTAACTCTGACAAATAACCTCTGTGCATCTCTGCCTGGTCTCTCATTTCTCACTTACCTGTCTCTTGCTCCTTGCTTTCCCTTCAGCGCCCATCTCCTCTACTTCTGGGCTGCTGCGTTTGGACCGTGGGCTGTCTGAGCTGATGGACAGGTGCCGGCACACACTGAGTGTCTTGAATCGGTGGCATTGCACTGAGAGTTCTCAGAAGATCACCGCCCCTGTCCTTGAGATGGCTCAAGCAAACCCATAAGCCCTTCATGGCCCAACAGGTTTTAGAGCCCAGCTGCACCCAGGCCTGGTGAGCATGTCCCGTCTTGCCTGCTGTCTGTGGTCGATTGGTAGTGGCTGACTAGGGCACTGTGCTGAGTGTGGTTCTGAGGCCAGCCCTTGGATCAGAGGGAAGGCTTCCTGGGATGGATTAGTGATGTCTGCCTTGGGCATAGCTGTAGATATGATGACCAGAGGGCAGCATTCATCATCCCACAAAACACGTTATGGATCTAGATGGAACAGGTCACTGAGAGGCTTGAAGTCAGATTAGAAAAAAACACAAAAGGAAAAATGCTGCCCGAACAGCTGGAAAGGGGCAGGACAGCCAGCTACACAGCAGCCAGGAGGGCAGGGCTCCGTCTCCCGTAACCACGGGGCTCCGCACTCCTCTGACGGCACAGAGCCATGGGCCCAGAGAAGTCCAGGGCCACCTCCTAAATGTTAAATGAGCACAGGGGTGGATTTGTTCATGTGGATCGGGCCGTATTTCATGGATGTGGACACAATTGTGCCTTGGTTAGTGAGGGAGACGCCTTCTGAGGCCACTTTGTCACTGAACCTCACAGATGGTACCTACACAAACCTAGAAGGCAGAGCCCACTCCACTCCTGGGCCACACGGTGCAACTATTTAAAATTAAGTATTATTCCTATTATTACTTTACTTTTCAAACACACACACACGCACGCACGCACGCACGCACGCGCGCGCTCTTCAGCCCACGTGACCTGACATCGCCACCTTCCACCTCCATGTCTTGGCCCACTGGAATGCCTCCAGGAGACGCACACGGGGCTGTCACTCCTGTGGTGACAACACATTCTTATGCACCTCTTGAAGGACCTGCCTTTTAAAAGAGTTGTCCTTTTAAAAACATAAGGAGGAGAATGCTTTAAAATGACGATAAAAACCTAGCCCGGCAGATACCCAGCAGCCGTCCGTGATCTGACCAGGTTACGTACTGTACACCACTGCAGGTGATATGTCACGTGGGACTGCCTGGTTATGTGACCTGCAGCTCAGCAGGTGTGCTTATGCCAATGTCACCACAGACGTCAGTGGCATGTTGCCCTGTGGTGCCATAATGGTCACGACAGCCCCAGATGGCAGAAACGTTGCAGTTCCATTATAATCTCTCTCTCTTTTTTTTTTGGAGGGGGCTACTGGGGACTCAACCACTGAGCCACATCCCCAGTCCTATTCAGAGACAGGGTCTCACTGAGTGGCTAAGCACTTCGCCATTTTTGAGGCTGGCTTTGAACTCATGATCCTCCTGTTTCTGTTTCCTGAGCCCCTGGGATTACAGGCATGAGCCACTGTGCACAAATCTCCACTATAATCTTGAGGGACCACGGCTGCGGATGTGGCTCGGTGTGGACTAACACTTCATTTTGTGGTGCAGGACTGGATGTAATTTTGAACTTGCCTCCAGGGAGGACAGAGTGGTAGGTGACCAGTCAATAGTCTTGCTAAGAACAAGAGAGGTCAGAAACACCACCACCACCATGTCTGTAGCCTCGGGAGAGGAGGTGGAGGTGAGCAGATGATGGATGATCAGCAGCAGGCTTCTCTCTGGGCCAGTTCTGATTCATGCAAGAGGCTGGTGGAGGTGACAAGCTAAGGCCCAGCTCCCTCCTCTATCTACAAAGCCATTTCTTCCCAGATCCAAGGGATAGTGACTTGCCTGGGATTTTCCCAGTGACAGCACCTAGTAGGCTCACAGCACCTGATGAAATCCTGGAGTTCAGACCCATGTCTGCTGGGGTCTTTTTATTTTTTTTCGATTTTACTTCTCTTCAAACTTTGGAATTTTTTTTTCCTGAAAAAAGTGCTTTGTGTGATCTGATTTTTTTTAAATAGTTAAAATGTATTAAAGATTCATGTTGTTTAGAACTAGAGTATTTTGAAAATTTCACAACATCCCCAGGAGATAATTGGTGTCTCTCCAGGGAATCTTCGGGCGGAGGCTGGGAATGATGGTGTAAATCACTTGAGCGCCAGCAGCAGTTTTAATTAAGTTTTTCCAAAATCAGATGCTTATTTCACTGAAATATGCTGGGCTTTGTTGACAAGTGACACATAGCATTTCATTGTCTAGTTTTTTTTAAAACAACCAAAAACATCCTTGTGGGGACCTGGACTCCATATTAATTAATCTACAGTCAGTCAGAGCCTGGTTCTCAGCCTTCAGGGGATTCAGAGAAGGCGAGCGCTGACCTTGGCCTCCAGGAGAGTCAGGGAGCAAGAGGCTCCTCACTTTTGACAGGCTGATGCTGTCTGTGCTGGCTCTTACAGATGTCACGGCCTTGCTGGGTGCCTCTGCCCCGGAAGGGAGGCACCACTATCCCCATCTTGTAGATGAAGAGACTGAGGCTCCAGAATCCCCAGAAATCAGGATGCTCTCACACAGCTTGTAAACTCCACAGTGGGCACCAAACCTGCTTCTTCTTGCTTCCTGGGACATCCTTGTCCCATAGTCCCATGGCCACTCTGGGTTGTGCAGGGTTTCCAATCCAAGAGGAGAGGACAGGCTCTATAGGGCAGAAATAAGCAGTGATGGCCCTGGATTATAAAGGGACTTGATCCCCTAATTTCGGGAGCTGTGCTGGGCTCGGATCCCCACAGGGAAGGGGAAGGGAAGCCACCACTCCGCTTAAACTGGGAAGGTAAAGTTCAGGAAAGGGAAGGAAATGAGGCAGGAGCGGCCACTTTTGCTGTCCTCTCTCTTTTGCTGGCTGGTTAGCTAGGAAGGCACTGGGGAGGGATTCTGGACCGACCTTAGCCTTGACCTTGGCAGGATGGCAGCTAGGCCCCTTCTCATCTCTGGATCTCTGGAGTGGGGTCTGGCGGGGGCTGCTTCACGCCGCGTGGGCTCCTGGAGAGGACGGGCCACCTCCTCCTTAGGTCAGCCCCGCCCTCACGAGTCACACACCTGGAAACTGCCCAGGACCCGCAGGAGGGGACGGCGGTCCTGCTCCTGGTTTCATCACTGGCTTCTTGGATCTCCAAAGGCCACTCCAACACCGGGCTCCTCCGTAGGTTCCCGTGGGACTAAACCCCTCGCCCTCCACCGCCTCCCGGTGCCAGCCACGCGGGAACACGTGATCCAAGTTCAGCCAATCACGGCGCTCCCTCCCTCCCTCCTCAGCAGTGATTGGCCCAGGAAGAGCCAATCAGGGTGCTCCCTGCAGACGGAGCTCCCCGCTGGCTGAGCAGCCTGCAGACTGAGCTCCCGAACTCCCCGCTGGCTGAGCGCCCTGGCCGGTTCTCTTTCCCTCTCTTTTTCGGGAGTTGTTCACGTGGGATGAAGGTACTGTCACTTCATCGTCCCTGCCCAAATGGAAAAAGTGAGTCTGTATAGTAGGAGACACACAGACCTGGAGATTGGGGACCCAGAGGCTTCAGCCCAATACTTTGAGCTCATTGACCTTGGTCCCTGAAGTCAGTGGCAGCCTTTCATGGCCCCATCCCCTGTCCTAGGAAATGAAGTCCTCACCGGCCACAGGAGGAGCCTCCTTTCCCCATTCTCTCACCTCCACCTCGCGGGGTCCTGCACTCTAAGGGGCTTCTAGATATTTCTGTCAGCCCTTCCCACAGAGCTGGCTTAGGGCTGTCTTGCCACAAAGCATCGTTCAAGCCCCTCCTACGTGTCCCCTTCGTCCGTCCTGCCTTGGAAACTCAATTTCCAACTGACTACGCTGCAGGGTGGGACCTTAAGAGCTGGCTTGCTGCAGGACCTGAGTTCTTGGCCCTGGGGAATGGATTAGTGCCATTATTGTGGGAGTGGGTTAATTACCGTGGGAGTGGGCTCCTGATCAAAGGGTAAGTTGGTCCCTGCCCCTCCACCGCTCTCAGGCCCCGTGGTCTGTCATCAGTGGGGCTCGCAACCTTGGACTTCCCAGCCTTCAGCACTGGAGGAAACAGACTCCTGTTCTTTATAAATTACCCAGTCGAAGGCGTTCTGTTAGAGCAAAATGGGCCGGGAGCCCCCAGATGTTCATAGCAAAAGTGCTGATAATGGAACAGCTTTCCAAGAGGAAAAGAGCCTCCATTTCCCAGAAAGGGTTGGGGAGGGCTGCATGCTGACGGGCCGAGGGAGGTAAATTACCGTGTGCTTTCTGCAGAGCCCGGGCTGGGCTGTGAAGAGGGCCGCCTGCCTCCCTGGTGCTGCTCTCCCGAGCTGGAGGCTCTTCCAGCAGGGCCGGCTTCCAGGCAGGCGACAGTCAGATGCAAATCATTTCTGTCCCCCGCCTCGGCAGTGCCTGGCGCCTGCTGGCGTCGGAGCACAGCCGCTGTTTCTCTGGGAGACCTCTGCTCAGCACAGCCAGGGCCTGTACTGTTGTCATTAGGAGGTATAAAATCCTAATTTATATTGCTGGGAGGGTAATTTATACACTAATGTAAATTTCTTTTACTGCTGATTTTTGAGCAACCGATGTGCAATTATTTCCGGCTCCCCTTCCAAGGCAATTCTAGAACGACGGCTGCTAATACCTTAATATTCTTTATGATTGCCAGAGATGATATTTTTCCCGGATCAAATGTATCCAGTGGGGTTTGACATAATTGGGTTAAAGATTTCTCTCTCCGTGGCTATGAGACGCGTTAGGCTCATCCGGGCTGGGGCGGATGATGGCGACTGTCTTTTGTTTCTATTTTGTTGCTGCTGCGGGCTGGCCCCCTCTCCTTTATTGAGTTGTAGGTCTTTCCCGCATGCCTACTGTATGCTCAGCTCCAAAGGGTGCTTGTTACATGGAGAAGAAAGCAAATTGTATAAAAGGCCCCCTGAGAAGTACCTCTTGGAGGAAAATAGTTTTTGCCTTAGGAATAATACATGGGGGCATGGTGGGCTGGCTGGCTTTGTCCCCTGAACATGAAACTTGAATGGAGGACACTTGAGAGGCTGTTTCTACCTCTATAGAGCAAGAGACGATGCATCTCTCTCCCTGACCTTGCTATGAGCAGGTGAGAGCTGGCCAGAGAGGGCCATGGGCCCTGAGCAGTCATCTCCAAGCTGTGCTCTGTCATGCTCCACATCCTGCCCCCCTTCCAAATAATTGGCACCAGTCCTCAGGCCAGGCTGTGGGATGTCCTTAACCCCACAGTGATGATTCGGTCATGGGGCAGAGCCCTCACAAACAGGGTTAGTGACCTTACAGAGAGGCCCCAGAGAGACCCCAGCCCTCCCATCACACAAGGTGAGGGATGCTATATTGAAGGAGCAGGCCCTCGAGGGACAGTGAATCTGTCAGCACCTTGGCTGTAAATTTCCCGTACTCCAGAAATGTGAGAAAGAGATAAATTTTCTGTGACATGTAAGCTCAGGGACAGTGGCTGGATTTGACCCTCAATGTAACAGCTGTTATGAAGAAAGCTGGAAGAGGAGACGCCACCTCCAAGCTTGCGTTCCTCATGTGAGGGCTGCCACAGTCCGACCACAACCAAAAAACCTGATTAAAAAAGTGGGCAAAGAAATTAGAAATGAAAAGACATTTCGCCAAAGAAGATGCTCACATGGCCGGCAGAAACCCAGAGACAGACCCAGCCCACTAATCAGAAGGGACATGCCAATCAAAACTGCCCTGCAGAACTACCTCCCGCCCTGTAGGTTGGTCACCATCTACACGAGAGGTACAGTGGTCGGACATGCAGGATCTGGGAGCTTCAGGAACCACTGGTGGGGATATAAGATGGTGCAGCTGTTTTGGAAAACAATATGGCAGATCCTCAAAAAAATTAAAGGTAGAATTGCCACGTGGTTTTGTGCCCTAAGCAGAAAGCAAGGTATCAAAGGTAGATCACAGCAGCACTGTTCACAGCGGCTAAAACATAAGGCAACCTGCGTCCTTGGATAGAGGGACATGAGCAAAGTGTGGTGGGTGCGTATAATGGTTGTTCTGAGTAGAGATCAGGGGTCCAGTGGCTGTGTGGGGCCCTGATTAGTTCCCTGGTTCTGTTTAGAGTGCAGAGGAAAAGATTCTGAACTATGTGGTAGACGTGAGACCAAAGGGCTTTAAAATCAAAGTCCCTTCCATTTTCTATTGATGATAATATTATGAAATGAGATGGTATTTCCCCTGATTTAGCAGACCTTTGCTGATGAATTTTCCCTAGAAGTCTGAACAGTGGAGGGGGACGGAGACCAAGCCCCTTGTGTCTGCAGGCAAGCTCTGTGGACACACCCGCCTTCCTCGGGAGGGCTCTCAGGTCTGAGATGATGGACAGCGGGGACACCCAATCACAGTCCTCCCTGGCTCACTGGGCCCTAGGAGGGAGACTTCATCTAGCCTCTGATAAGACTATAACCAAGTGGCACGTGTGAATAGTTCTCCAAGCTAAAGAGCAAGATAAGGAATTACACGAAGCATTTATGCTTCCATTTTCTTTCCTCAACTAGAATCCAGGGCGTCCTGCAGCCCCAAAGGCTTTGGGTACCAAGGCTGGGGAGCTTCGGTACCCACCCAAGCACCTCCCTTCCTGTAAGAAAACCGATGCTTCATGTCCAAGCCCCCAAGGGCAGAGATGCAGGGTTCTCCAAGTGTCTCTGGCACTAGCAGAGGCTGTTGTCCCCGTTTGGTGGATTAGGACACTGAAGCCCCATCAGGTTAGTTGGATTGCCAGGGTCACGTGTCTGTGAGCTGAGTGCTGACCGCTGTCTGTCCCCAGAGCTTGCATTTCACGGCCTTCTAACAGAACTGCTGCATGAAGTACCCAACTCGGGCTTTTCCATTCTATACTTGAGGGTGGTTTATTAGGGCTTAAAAATGAACAGAGAGTTACAATAAATCACACAGCCTGCCTAAATCAGAGATGGCCACTCACGCAGCCAGAGGCTCAGCCCGCCGTCCTTGGGATTGTGCCACAGTAGCTCTGGGGCAGGGCAAGAGAGGTTGGGGTGTGTCACAGGTGTGGACCTGGGTGGACACAGGAAGGGAGGGTATGGGTCTCAGTGGAGGAGGCTGGCCTCATGGCCTCCCTCCCTCCATGGAGGCCCCTGTCCGTTTCCCAGCCCCAGCTCAGGGTTATGGGGACCTGAAATGCTCTGGACCCATGTCCCTTCTGCCAGGGGTCCCCCTCCAAGGCTACTGTCCTGCTTTTGAAGAGCAGGGCACCTACCACGGAGTACCTCTGTGTGCTCATCCCTGGTCCCAGGGCTGTCCCACAGTCCAGTGTGGGAGTCAATACGAGGCTCAAAGCAATCCATTCTGCGGTATAGACAAGGTGCTCTACTGAGGAAGATTCTGGAGACGCTCTGAGGGGGGCCTATCCCTGTGTCTTGCTCCGTTGTGTGACTTTTGTTTTCTCTGAGCCTCGGCTGCCAAGTGGGAATCAATATCTTGATAATACACAAAATGAATCAGTGAACGTCCACAGGTCACCTGGTGCAGCTCCGAGCATGGGATCTGCACCTTGAGCCTTTTGCAGGGGCCATTTTTATGATGCAGGCGGGAAGCACAGGTGGACGTTTCCCAGCCTCCCTTACAGGTGGTGCGACCGTGCTGCAGCCAGTGATGTGGGGCGGGACCAATGAGTGCCCATCAGCTCCTCTCCTAACCCTTGGCTTCTGACATTCTACTGGAGAGAATTTTGTCACACAGTCATAACCAACTGCAAAGGGGCAGTTGTAATTCACCTAAAGGGGACAGTAGATTTTGGTGCATATTAAGCAGTCTCACCACACACTCTTCAAAGAAATGGGTATGTGCTTGCTTTGCTTTTTCGCCCTCCGCTTTGACTCAGATGCAGATATAATGGCAGGAGCTGTGGTAGCTGTTTTGGACTCAGAGAGAGAAGCTGCATGTTGAGGGTGGCAGAATTGCTTTTCTAGCCCTGAGCTGTCTCAGGATTTTTGGTAGAGATGACTGGTGCTTCTAATTTGCTTGATCATGCATTGGTGGGCCTTTTTGTTATGGCAGATTGGACTGCTCTGGACAGACGTATTAAGACCAGGAGCTCATACTTAGTCACCTTCTTACTCGAGGTGCCCCCAGAGCTGGGAGGATACCCCGTCTCCAACATGAAGGGAGTCCCAACCTCATGCCAGATCCTCTTCACGGTCTCTCCTGGGAACCCGGGGCAGCTCCTCCTCCATGGCTTTCCTGAAGTCACAGATAAAGCCACCAGGACAGAACGGCACGCCAGGGGCTCTTCTCAGTACGCGACCTGCGCCTGGTGTCCATCCTGCATGATGGTGCAGAGCTGTAACCTCACAAGTGGGTTAATCCGTTTAATCCACTTAATGGATTAATTACTTGTATGGACTGCTAGGTGTGCAGGTAGCTGGAGGAATTAGGTCATTATGGGTGCACCCCTGGGGACTCTATCTTGTTCCTGGCTCCTTCTCCCCGCCCCCTCCTTTTTCTTCTTCTCCTTCTCTCCCTTCCTCTTTCTTCCACCACGATGAGCTTCATCTCACTCCCACACCAACAGATCCACCCACCACTGACTGGCCTCTGAACCTGGGAGCCCCAAACGAGCTTCTCCTCATTGTTCTTGTGAGGCATTTTGGTCACAACCATGAACAGCTGACTGACACATCCATGTTGTCACCAAGGACAGAATTTCATCCTCCTTATTCACTTTGGGTTGGCAGTTTGGCCCCCCATGTCCGTCCCGGGAGGAATTTGCTTGGAGTGGGGTCACTCCTGGTGGGTGCTGTTCTTGTGGGAAGTTCAGGGACGTAGGAGCCAGAGGTGGACCTGGGGTTCGGGCGTCTCCAGGGCTGCTCCCGTCTGTGTGTGGGTTCTCCTCCTGTCGACCTATGACTAGGGCCAGTGGCTTTCTCAGAAACCTGAGATGATCAGGGTGGACGGTGGAGTGAATCAGGACTCACGCTGCCCCGAGACGTCACCCACCAGTGACTTCCTTACAGTCCCAGCCACCAACTCTGCGCAGTCCTCACTGGGCTTCCTGCAGGCTGGGCCTCTGGTCAGACACAGTAGCTGGCCGAGGAGTACTGGTGGCTCCTCTGCCCACCAGAGAGGCTGCGTGACCTGTGACTGCAAGGCTCTGCCTTGGGGCGCATCTAAGGAGCAAGCAGCTTTCCTGTCAGTCTTTGTGGACTGTGTCCCTTAGCTGCCCTGGGTGACCCTGCACGCCAGTTGCACTGAGGGCTTCCTTTGACCACCCAGTGGCTCTCACAGGACACAAGTCTTGCTTTTGGACGAGGCCCTCCTCCCTCCTGCCACTGGAGCCCGTCAAACCCTTGGGCTGGTGGAGCCAGCCTGGCCCGACCTCCCCACATCTCTGTCCTTGCTCAGTGGACTCTGAGCCTCCGAAGGCCAGTGGCCTCAGGCTGCCCACCTCGTCCCTTTAGCACCTCCGGAGCGGGTCTGAGGCCACTCACGACTCAGCCACAAGGCACCAC